ACATATAAATCATCTTCTATGCCAAAGATATCAATATTGTTTTACATAAATTACACTATATATAAAAATCTCGCAACAATTCTTTTAAATATTTCAGAACTTTTTTTATATAGAATTTTTTTATATAGAAGAATTTTTATTTTACAGGATACAGAAAAAGATTTTTAATAAAAGAATTGACAAAGAGAATGTTATCTTATCAATATGCAAATAATTATAATTTTATGTTTTTGTATTTATCAAATTATTAAATATCTTCTTATATAATGTACAATTTTATATTTTTACAAATTAAATATAATAAATATTATATTTATTATTGTGAGCTTGAGCTTAATTTAGAGCTACATTATGTATTATACATTTAGAATCAACAATTTCCGAAAAATTTAAGTCTAAACTATTTCTAAAACTCTATTTGTTTCTAATAGTACTCGCTGAAAATCGTTTCATAAAATTAATTAGAACCAAAACAAACGTCAATAAAATTCGTAATTTTTATTATAAATGTACAATAAAAATTTGCTGTTAAATATTTATATTTGTGACGTTTATTATTATGTTATATATAGGTTTATATTATATTACACAAATACGTACATATACATACATTATGATATTATATAAGGTAATAAGTAACAAAATTTTTAATATTCTTCCACGGGTGTTTCCTATATAACAATCTTGTGTTTCGCGGGTTTTCTCCGTGTTCAGATCCATTCTCCTTATATAATATCATACATAAATTTGTATATTATTATTATATATATATATTTAATCTTAAATTATTATTATGAATATTATAACGGCAGTATATGAATAATATGCGATACCTTCACGCACTGTTAGAGATTAGATATTTTTATGCATATTCTTGCCACCTTAGGAATTGTCAGGTTGTACATTTGCGCGAGTAATGTCGGATATCATATATTCTTGTCATAATGAGAATTTAATTGCCTGACCTCTGCTCCGACTTTATGATCTCGGCTCGCTTTTGCTACTAATTAGTTATTTCAACAGGTCTCTTCATACATCGTTTTGCACATTGCTTGAATATATTCGCCTTTCACACTCTCTCGATCTGTCTCTAAGCGAGAAATGTGAGAAATAATGTCCTTAAGCATAATGAAATTAAAGTATATTGCAACAGTGTCTGTGAAATTGCTACACAAAATTTCAGCAATACATGCTCTTATTTTTCATGGCCTTATATTAGTAATTTGAAACCTTGATTACAAAATAGAATAAAGTGAATAATAGGTTTAAGACATCCAATGTCCGAAGGTCTTTGCTTATAAGTAACGTGTTCAAAATATTATAGTATAAAAATATTACAACTGAAAATCTAATAAACAGTTGTATCATTATCTTGAAAACGTTTTCACGAAATTGTCATTTATGTAATCTAACATTTTAAAAAATAATTCTAGGCTTTTTATTTGAATTATAATTTTTTTTAACTTTAATACTTTTAACTCTGTATAAAATTACATTTAAAATGTATTCTATTTTTTTATTAACAAATTATAAAAAAGGTTTACTACAAATGTAATTTTATTTTTATATTTATATATATGTACATTAGCCTTTATAATATATTTAATTTTGTATTAAACATTTTTATAGGAAATTATTATAAAATTTCTTTTATATATACATACTTTTAATTAAACATATATTTATCCTATAATAATCCTTAATTATTATATGAGTATCTTATTAAACAAAATATCCGTGAAACTTTAATCATAACATATTTAAACATAAAATGAAGAAATATATTAAATTATAATGTAAGAGAACATTTTTACATTGATATAATTAATACCTGTCATTTCTATCACAGATTATCTCATACTGACCTATTTTTTTTTATCGAAGTACAAACGTCATTTTAGCCGAAGATGATTGAGCAACCACTTTACTCTTTCCTTCTCTCTTCTTTCCTATTTTTCTCTCTCCTTTTCTCCCTTTTTAATATGAAAAGATATTTATTTGCATTAAATTTAAAATTTTATTTCTATTTTAACCAAGCATTTTCGAGCACCGAATTATATATTATAAAAATATTTTTAAAAAGCAAGCCAAAGTAAGAATGCAAATATGTAATCGAGACCGAGGCAAATAAAAGAATGTGAATAAACATTCATATAAAATACCTCAGATTATTTCGAGATAAAGGGAAAGCATATGTATATTTTTACAATTGCGCCTGTTGCATAAGATTTGCATAAATTTTCAAAGCGACCGCGGAATGTAAACGAAATCAAGATATAATTTTTTCATACGCGTAAATGAGTTTCTATCTTTCTATTTACGTTATTAAAATTTATAATAAAAATTTTGTTATGACAATCTTGCGTTTCGCGGGTTTTCTCCATGTTCAGATCCATTCTTGGAATGCCAACGTTTCGTGAACCTTGCAGTCCACTTGCAGTATCAGGCTGCTCCTCGCCCTGATGAAGTGGACTGCAAGGTTCACGAAACGTTGGCGTTCCAAAAATGGATCTGAACACGGAGAAAACCCGCGAAACGCAAAATCGTCATATAGGAAACACCCGTGGAAGCCTCAAGAATATTAAAAATTTTAAATTAAGAAGCGCCATAACAGTCAGAACGTTAAGATGTTGAACTATTGTAAATTCATTTAAATGAATTATAAAACTTATTGCGAAAAATAATGTCTCGGCCGGGAGTCGAACCCGGATCTCTTGCATTCCGTGGTCTCGGTAGTCTAAAGGCTTAGGACGCTCGCACGGAATGCAAGAGATCCGGGTTCGACTCCCGGCCGAGGCATTATTTTTCGCAATAAGTTTGATTACAGTTTTTAAGTTGGGAAATTGGGGGGGATTATTAATATTTTCAGATTTGATTGCGTTGAAAGTCCGACAACCATATCGGTACGCAATTATCATTTCTGAAATTAATTCATTTAAATGAATTTACAATAGTTCAACATCTTAACGTTCTGACCGTTATGGCGCTTCTTAATTTAAAATTATTATGTTTAACATTAGCGGTCTTTCAATCTTATTATTGATTAAAAATTTTGTTACTTATTACCTTATATAATATCATAATACATATATGTATTACAAAACTCGCATACACGCAACTTTGACACTTATTCAAAACAGTCCTTGGTGAAGGTCGGCCAAGCATCGTTCTGCCCACATTTTGTGACAGAAAAGGCAATCGAGAAAGGCATAGAGAAGAGTGGGGTAAATCGAACCTATTTACAGTTTTTGCTTTCTATAAGACGTAAATAAAATCCGATCGTAAAACCGAAGGTGCCGTTAAAAAGATTATTTAATTCCCTTCATTTTTCTTTGAGACCATTTTGACGTATCTCTCATCTGTGTTGAACTATAATGAAAAATGTAAAAACGCTTTTTCCGGTCCAATTTGGAATTATTGATTTCAAATCGGACACTCCTATTTTTATGGACTTTTAGATAGAATTGTAAAATATTTTAATGTATTTTTGTTAGTACTGAGTAAAAACGAGCAATTTAACAGTCAAAGATACAAATTTTATTCAGAAAAAAAGAATTATTGACAGTTTATATTATTAGAATCGAAATTAATAAAACTCAATTAATCTGAGTCTGATGACTCATGATATTTTAGTAATTTAATTTCTTGGACCAGATCTGGTCGGCCGATCACCAGTACTACACCCAGGCCTATAAGTTATTTACTGTACTGTAGGTCCGATTTGAACATCCAAAAAGAGGTCCGATTTGGACACGGGTCCTTTCGAACTTTGGAACAAATTTTACAATAAACCGCAAAGTATTTGACAAAACAAGCAATTTGACAAAACCCTTGATATTTTTTAATTCTACTCTTTAATTATCTTAAATCAATTACCTTTTAAATTTTTAACACTTTCTAGATAAGGATTTTCTTTTTTAAAAAAATTTTCGCACGATGGCTAAAAATATTTGCGTCTATTCTATGAATATTATGACCGAGAACTGTCAAACTACTATCATATATTTGGTGTCTTATGAGGACTTTACATTATAAATAGCAGTCAAATCTGCTTAACCTGCTTAACCTGCTTAAAACTGCTTAAAAGAAAGAATTAAATTAGAATTGGACGGTTTTCGAATACAAATAAAATTAATATTAATATAAAAATTTTCTGACAATTATTACTCAGAGATGTGACTAATTGACTAAGTGTCAGCCTTTTTTTATTATAAGAATTGATAATTATTAATAAACACATCACATAAAATAAATATTAAAACACAAAATGATATCAAATAAATATAAATTTTCAAAGAGTGCGAACAATATTCTGTTCCTAAATTTTAGAATAGTATTGATATCTACATATTTTAACACGAATATAAGCAAAATAATGGTATATATTTAAAAAGAAATAATATTTGCTTTGTTCTTAAAAGATTTTCTTTCTAATGCTTTGATGGCTCAATGATAAAAATTAATAATAATAACTATTACTTCTATATATGTATATATATATATATATATATAATAATTTTAAAGGATCGAAAAGAACCAAATTTTTTCGCGGATTTTTTCAGTTTTTTCCCAAGGAAAATTCATTGGAAAAATTCACATGTGTTGTAAAACCTGCCATATTTATTTCTCGGTTTTTTCCGTAAAGAAAATAATATAGGAGAAGGTGGTATTATGACCAGTGTATATATAGTGGCCTCCCTTAATATCTCCGCTATTATATAGCGAATCCTAATGATTACTTATAGAATTATTAGTTCAGTAGCTCGCCATTACACCATGACACTAATATTACCAATACTCAATAACCAGCACTTATTATAACGCCT